TCAGATCAATTTGGTCTAAATTAGTTTCAGGATGTGCCTGTCTGAAATTTAGAATTCTATTGAGAGAAAATTGACGAGAAGCTCAGTTCGTAGCCCACCTCAGGCTTCTCATTCATTTAAGACAATTTCCTAAATCAAAGCTACAGATATTAAGTGCTTGGTGACTTTTCCTAAGTTCTCATTTAACCTCAGAGAGCCACAGGTTGCCTAGGCGGCCAGAGCTCCACGGAAACTTAGGTACCGCTGTGGGGGCGAAAGGCGAATATAAACTCACGCGTGCGCACACGGGCGCCGGCCCCCACAGGACCGGGAAGGAGTTTCGAGAAGACCTGGGCAGTGTGACTGGCGGTGGGCACTTTTGCAGCACCACCTAGTAGGACTTAAGCAGAACCCCGAGCGGGGCCTGCGTGGCGGGGGGCCCCAAGGAAGCGCCTGGAGAACCGCTGCAGGCGCCCCGCCCAGCCCAGCGAGGGCGGCATCTGATCCCGCCTCCTGCACCAGGGGCCATTACAGGCCTGCGGGGGGCGTCCTAGCGCCCGGCTACAAAAGCGCGCTCCCCACACCGCCCTTCCCACTCGGCGTTGCAAGGTGGCTGACCTAGTCTGAAGAACTCAGCTTCGCAGCGAAGGTGGTGGTCTCGCCCCTGCCGTCCAGGTCAGGGAAGAGGCGCACCCTTCTTGTGCTTCGTTCCGAGTCTACTTCGTCGCGAGGCCGCAGCTATGGATGGTATACCGGGCCGAACCAACTGGGTCCAGCCGCTGCAGCATCACTGTCTCCTCTGCGACTATGGGGTCTCGTTCCCCTTGGGAACAGAGGAGGGAGACCAGGCTTTCTGCTTAGGAGAGTATGATTTGGCAGCCCAAATCTTCCATTTAGTGCTGCCCCGGCTGCCCCGGCTGCCCCAGCCCGACCGAGACCTGTGTCTGCGCCTGGGGAACGCGCTGGCCCGTGCGGGCCATGTCTTCGAGGCCCTGGGCGCGTTTCGCGGGGCGGCGTGGCTCAAGGCTTTGCGGCCTGAGGAGCTGGGGCACCTGGCCTGCGGTATCGCGTCCGTCATCCGCGTGAACGAGTGGCATCTCCAGACCCTGAAGCCGGGAAGCGACCTCGAGATGCTGTACTGGGGTCGACCGCCCACAGTTCCACCGCCCCCGGCGTCTGCCACGCTCCGCGACCTTTTTGGTTGCCCGCGCTGCACGCGACTACTCTTCAAGCCGGTGACCCTGCCGCGCGGGGTAACGGTCTGCATGCGCTGCGTGGGAAAGTGTGAGTCGCGGT